CCGTCCGTCCGTCCGTCCGTCCTCGTCGTCCTCGTCTCCTGCTGCTGCTGCTGCTGCTGCTGCTGCTGCTGCTGCTGCTGCTGCTGCTGCTGCTGCTGCTGCTGCTGCTGCTGCTGCTGCTGCTGCTGCTGCTGCTGCTGCTGCTGCTGCTGCTGCTGCTGCTGCTGCTGCTGCTGCTGCTGCTGCTGCTGCTGCTGCTGCTGCTGCTCCTGCAACGTCTCCCATCATGTAGTTTCATTGATCAAAACTTCACAGCATCACTACACCGAAAACTTCTCTTTCTTCCCTTCACCTACTACATCAACGACTTCCAGCGCCTCCTGCCTGCTGTCGGCGAATGGAACTCCTCCTCCCCTTCTGCGCCCTCACGCTCCGACCATCAGCTCCCAGCAGGCAGCTTCGTCTTCGTCTGCTTCAGGTGGGAACGGAGCAGCTGGAGGGGAGGTGACCAGATGTGCTGGCAGCCGAGCTGAGAAAATAGACAAGGAGCTCTTTGTGACGTGGATGCGGATCCTCTGGAGGGCGAGGGGAAGCGTACTATGGCTGCTCAAGGTAAGAGGGAGGGAGGGAGGGAGGGAGGGAGGGAGGGAGGGAGGGAGGGAGGGAGGGAGGGAGGGAGGGAGGGACGGTACGACAGGGAGGGGAAGAAGGGGAAGAAGGGGGGGAAAGGAGCGATAGAGAAGGTAGCGAAGATGGGATGGGAATGGACGAGATGGGGTGGATTTTCTTGACAGGATTTCTGCGTTTGCTCGTGGGCTCGATGTTTGGATCAACAACGGGACTGATAGGAAGGGCAGGACATGAAGGGGTCGAACAAGGGGGAGACTTTCATCTCGTCTCAGTTCAAGAAGAGAGCGGAGCAGATGGGAATCGATCCGGGGAGGTGAAGGGAGGGGCGAAATGAGTCAGAGTTGACATGTTCTCCCAAGGTTAATCTTCACGGACTCGATTGACTGGAAGAGACATGTGGAGGTGATGATGATGATGATGATGATGATGATGATGATGATGATGATGATGTAAATGATGTAAATGATGTAAATGATGACGATGCAGATGATGATGATGTAAATGATGATAATGATGATGATGATGTAAATAATGATAATGATAAGGATGACGACGACGACGACGATGGTGGTGGTGGTGGTGGAGATGATGAGGATGATGAGGATGATGTTGAGAAGGAGTGGTAGCAGAGAGTGATTGAGGATGGTGATGACGGGGATAGTGACGATAGTGGAGAAGAGGAGCATGAGGGTGGTGGAGGTGACCATGATGAAGATGATGACGACGAAGATGTTAATGATTATGATGGTGATAAAGATTTTGTTGATGATAGAGATAGAGATGGATATAGATGCAATGATGATGATGCTGGTGATGGCGGTGGTGATGGTGATGTAGTTGAAAATAATACTGGAATTTCAGAGAGGAGCACTTGCTGATCTCTTTCTCGACACTCTCTCCTACAACGCTCACTCAACAGGCGCCAACGTGCTCTGGGCAGGCGTTCCCCTGCTAACCTGGGCGGTGAAGTCCTGCTCCTGCTCCTGCTGATGCTCCTCCTCCTGCTCCTCCTCCTGCTCCTCCTGCTCCTCCTGCTCCTGCTCCTGCTCCTGCTCCTCCTCCTGCTCCTTCTCTTCCTCCCTACACTTCTGTCCCCTCCCTCCTCCCCCTTTCCTAACGTCCCTTGTCTCAACTCTCCCTTCCTCCATCTCCCCTTCCCTCACTGTCGTTCCTCTGCTCGCCCTCCTCTGCTCCTCTGCTCCTCTCAGCTTCATCCAGGGAGTCAAGATGGCCTCGCGGGTAGCAGCGAGCATGAATCGTGCAGCTCGTGCTTGCGTGTACACTGCCAGGACCCTCAAGGTGGTTCGCTGGCCCTCAGTTGGAATTCGAGCTGAGATCGAGAGCAGGAGTACGAGGAGATGGCAGTGAGACTCTGCAACAGGAAGAAGTGGAGCTCACGGATGAGAGAGACGGTAAGGATCAGCACGAGAGGAGGAGAAGCAGGATGTGCAGGAGGAGGAGGAGGAGGAGGAGGAGATGCAGGAGGGGGAGGGGGAAGAGGAGGACAAGTTGGAGGGGTTCTGCTGACTTGCTGCAGGTCTTCTCCGAGAGATCTTCAGCTCCTCTCTTTCAGACCGTTGAGATGACATCAGCGCTCGTCCGGGGCTATCGAATGCAGCAGGAAGTTTTGGAATCGGCGGGTGAGTAGAAGACCCGGTGGAGGGGCGAGAAGGAGTGTTTGTATAAGAGATCGGGAAAGGTGGGCGGGTGGGGGTGGGACGTTGGAGGACGGGAAGAGAAGTAGGAGCGAGCATGAAGGAATGAGAGGACCGAGAGGGGAAGGGACGGAGTGAGTATGGAAGAGAGAAGGGACGGAGTGACTATGGAAGAGAGGGGATGGAGAGGGGAAGGGACGGAGTGACTATGGAAGAGAGGATGGAGAGGGGAAGGGAAGGGAGCATAGAGGAGGACGGAGTAGACTTGACTGAAGGCTCAGGACGACATTTTCACACCATCCCGTCGAGCCACAACATGAAGCAAGTCGATTTAAATTAATTTCATTCACATTCAAACATCAAGAAGGCAACCACACACCGGGCAAGGAGCAGTGCAAACTGACCCTGGGGAGCTGGAGGACAGCTGGAGGACAGCTGGAGGGGGTCTAGACTTCAGGGTCCTTGAGCAGCTCGCCGATAGAGCTCCGAAGCATGGCGAGAGAAGATTGTGAAATCTTCACTCCGCCTGCAGACAAAAATCAGGAGGAAAGGGAGAGCAAGGGGAAAAGGTGGAGGAGAGGACGAAGAGGAGCAGGAGCAGGAGCAGGATCAGGAGGAAGAGAAGGAGGAGGAACAACTTGTTCTGCAGGTAGGCATTTCTTCGCTCTTCAGTCCAGCCACTTTCTTGCATGCTGGCGTCTACGCATGTGTGAGAGGAGGAGGAAGGAGGAAAGACTTACTCTGCCGCTTTCTTTCGCCATCCTCGACGTGAGGGCACAACGAGTCGCCTGCAGGACCGGATGAGCTGCGAGAGTGGAGGCGTATAGGGAAGCACCTGCTGCAACTTCCGAAGTTCCTCCTCGGACTCCTCCTCTCCCCGGCCCGCTCGGATCAGGCCGGGTGACACCATGGCGAGGACGGTATCAGAGGTTCTGTTGCTCCGCATTCTCATCTGGCAGCCTGGGGTGAGTGAATGAAGCAGGAAGTAGAGTTTCTACCTCAGCCATCGACCTCCTTCCCGGCTCCTCCTCCCTCTTGACTTCTCTCGCTGCAGCTCTCATATGTGTCTCTGCCGCACGAGCAGGGGAGGCAGAAGGAGTCTTCTGGTACACAGGGAGGCCAGGGACAGCGCCAACGTCCGCATACTCGCGAGGTTCCATCCAGCAAGAGACTGGGACTCCGCCATGCTGTACGAGCAAGGGAAGAAGAGGGACGTGCGTCAGAGAAGCAGGGGATGAGGTAGATCGTCACCACCTTCCTCCCTCCCACTGACGATGGAGAAGACTTTTCAGGCTTCGGGGTTCGCTTGCCAGCAGCAGGGCTCAGACCCTTGTGCTGGAGGGCACGTAGGGCCTTGCTGGGAGTGACGGAGGGAATGTCTCGGACGGCCTTGTTCGTCACCTTGGGGGCTCGATCCTGTAGCCTCCTCTCGCTCCGGCAACGCTCCTCCATCCTCGCTGGTCCCTTGCCTTGCGGTCTGTCAACCTTGAGCAAGGGAAGGGTAAAGCTTACCTGTTCCAAGACGTTCGAGGTCGAGGTCGAGAGTCTGCTGGGAGGGTGAGTGGGAGAACAAGCTACGAGCCGCTCACTTGTCTTGGAGGGGCTCCTTGTCCTCTCCACCTCTTGTACGGCTCGGGCTGCAAGTTTGCTTTCTTGCTCGCCGAGCCGTAAACGTCGAGTGTGCGTTGGCTGCAAGCAAGCAAAGTGAGGAGACGGGAGAGGGAAAGGAGAGTGCAGGGAGAGAGGAGCAGTTGAGGAGAGGGAAGCAAGGAAGGAGAGCATAGCGGGAAGATCTTACTTGCTATCTGCCATCGTGGCATTCTGAATCAACAGCCTGACGTCAACTTCGACGTTTTTGGATTTCTCGTGCGCCATGGCACGAGGGGCAACATTCGCGACCCCAGTTGGCCCGTGAGCTCCCTCCTGCGGTGAGCCTTGCAACGAGTCGTCTTCGAACTCCTCCTCCTCCTCCTCACATCCATCCTCCACACGCTTCTCACAATTCTCCTCCTCCCCTCCATGCAAGGGGGTATCCTCTCCTCTGCTCTGTCGGCTCTTGTCCCAGGGCAGAAGCAATGAGTCAACCGGCAGTTCCTCCGCCTGCCAGCAAGAACAATCATCATTGACGACAACAAGGTGTCTACGAGGCGACAGACCTCGATAACTTCTTCTGCTTGCACGTCATGCTCTGCCAAAATCTTGCTATCAGCGAGAGGTAGTCTGAGGCGAAGGGCTCACGGTCAACAAAGCTCGACGAGTACTCCGAGGACCAACGGCTGTGCTGGGCTCGAGGGGTACAGCACTCGGCCCATGGCGCTTCGCAGGACTTTCGAGCGGCAGGAACAAGAGCTGGATCAACTCTCCTGTATGCCTGATGAGCGAGGGGGTAGAGGAGCGAGTTTAATTCACCTCAGGTGATATTCCTCAGGAGTAGATATGAAACATGCACGCTGATATTGTTCGTCCACCCTCTCGTCCCATGCTCGGAATCCTCCACGGTATTCAGCCGCGAGCTGGCGTTTGCTCCACATCGAATCGCAAGGTGATTGGTTAAGGCCTTGGCATGTGACAGCACTGCGAAGACAACAGTCAGCCCGTCAGATCAGCATCATGGAGGCAGGAAAGCGCTTCTTCTCCTTGCAACTTGATGCTGACAAGCGCTTCCTGCCATGTTCTGCCTCTCCCTCCCCCCCCCCCGACCTGCTGCTCTTTCTCTCCCTTCCCCCAAGTGCCTTTCCCCCCATTTTTTCAAATCCCAAGAAATTGACTAATTCTAAAGATTCAAATTTGCTGATTCATCACGCCTAGGATCGAATCACTGCCCCTCATTTTCTCAGTGGGGCGGACTCATAAAGTCAACAGCCCGGCGAGCGGCAGACCCGAGGCCCGGGGCCCGGGCGAGCGTGACTGAGCCGCCCTTGAGTTGTTGAAGGACGGTACTGCAGTTTAATAAATTTCAAGTCCCTCCACCGCTTCTTCCCACTGGTACACACCCGCGCCAGCAAGGTATACATCCTTCCTGAGAGCCTTCTCCCCACCTCCGGGCAGGCTTCTTCCTTCATGAGAGCCGCCGCAACAATGCGGAAGGTGAAGCTCCTCAGACTCCTCTATGGACGCCAACAAGGCTCTGTCTGCCTCCCCTTGCCTCGGCATGTTGATGTAGAAGTGTCTCGGGCTCTCCTGTCAAGTTGCGATCCCAGTCATCCCCTTCAACCTCCTCCAAGGCCTCGCACCACCACAAACTCCCCCTCCCCCTCCTAACTCTGAGCCCCCCACAGGATCTCCTCCCCCTCCCTTCCGGCTGCGACGACGACCCTCAGCCTACTCACCGTATCCGACCCATCCTTCAACACCTTCCCTCTCCACCGTCAGTCTGCCTCCTCCATACGTGCGCGTGCGCACTGCTCACCCGCATGTCCTGACGGACTCCCGTCGGGCTGATGGTGTATCTCCGAGTGAAGTAGCACACCCTGCCCCTCCCCCGTCATCCTCCCTCTTCTTCCCTCCTCTCTCGCTCGTACCCCGACCCCGCGTAGTGATAGAAGAGGTTGATTTCGATCGACGAGCTCTTGACCTGCCCGTTCAAGAAAGCGTACACCTTGCTGTCTGTCACCCCCCGTCAGCCCGGCCCCCCGCGACTCCTCCTCCCCTACTTCCGTCGCCGAGCTCTGTCTCCCACCCGTCCAGCCTGACCTTGGCTACTCTCTTCCACCTCGACCTGAAGCCTCCCGCGAGCTGCCACAGCTCTCACTCCCTCCTCCTCCCTCCTCCTCGACCTCGGGCGCGAGCTCTCACCTGCGGCAGCCTCATCCGCATGTGATGGAACACCATCAGGTTGCCCTGCTGGTCCATCTCCAGCGCGGCATGCGACTCTGTGAGTTTGGACAGGTACACCATGACCGCCGATCCTGCGACCCCACAGCTCAGCGACATTCCCTCTCACGTCAGCAGCCCTCCCTCCCTCCTTCGCTCCCTCGTTGCTTTCTTCCCTCCCTCCCGGCTCCCTCCCTCCCTGGCTCCCTCCCTCCCTATCTCCTTCGCACGCTCTCTTCCTTACCCAGGCTCTGTAGGCTTCCTCGGACTCTCTCCATGACGTTCCTTGACGCGTGATCCGTCGATAACGCAACCAGCCCCCGTGACATCAGCCCCCTGCCCGTCCCCCTCCGTCAGCCCTCTGCTATCCCTCCAGCTCATGCATGCGCTTACCGGCTCTCTGATACCAGCCCCCTCAGCGCCTGGTCGATGTCGTACGCGCACGCGTTCGACGTCCCCGGGTCTCGCTTGAACACCATGCACAGATCCCTCACGAGCTCTGCCGGCCACTCGTGCCTCACCTCCGCCTCCTCCTGTGCCTCCAGTACGAACACGCCTTCCCCCATGCACGACACATGCGCCGGTATCACCCGACACCTGATCACGTTCAAGCACACCATGCCTCCCCCCGCATCACCGCCTGCCCTGCCGCTCGTAGCACGTCCAGGCTCTCGTTCTCGACCAGATGGAGGAAGCACTGTCCTTCCTGTCCCAACAGTCATGCGCCTCGTCAGACACCTACTGGCCTCCTGCCCTGCATCCTTTCTTCCTTTCCCCTCCATGCATCTTCCCCGCTCAACACCGCATCTTCCACACTACTTTTGTTTCCCTACCCAAGCTACTCCTCCCTCCCCCCACCTTCCAACCCCCCTTCTGCTTACCAGCCTCCGCAGCGGCGATCGCACGTAGTACCCCTCTAGCCCCACGCTCCCGCACTTGATCCTCCAGCTCGGTAGCTCCACCGACACGATCCTCTCCCTCCGGCTCGACATGACCCTCGCCGTCGCTTCCTCTAGCGACACGCCGGGCTTTCGCTCCTTCCAGCTCGCTGGAGTCGTTGCTTGCATGTCCCGCAAGTGATTCACAAGGTCCTCCAGCATCTGCACAGTAGTCCGGGACGAGGGAAGATACCCGTTGAGCTCCTGGAGCTTTCTTTTCGAGGAGGGGACCAGAGGGTCCAAGGCGTCGAGAAGCTTCTTGGTGGTGTCTCTATTGGCAGACTTGGTTTGTTTGTCTCTCTGTCGCTTGCGCTCCAGGTTTCCTCGTTGTGTACTCATTCCCTTGGGCTTTGCCTTGGGGTTCATGTGTCCGGGCTTCACATCTGTTGAAAGGAAGTGCATATCTCGCTGGTGTGTTTGCAAGGAAGGTTTCGTTCTGCTATGACGCCGTACAGCACCAGCATGTCATCCCTGCCTCCAGGAGCATCAGACTTCGCCTTCAGCCTTCTGTCAGCGACACTCTAGGACGCATCGCCGAGCGTCGTCGCACTAGGGACCACACTGCATGAAATGGAAACTTATGTCTTTTCCCCAAATCAGATACAAACAAGTTCAGACCTTACTTTGAAATATGATCTCAACATTTCAAAGTTTGATGATTCTCAAATTGAGCACCACTGGAACCTTACCAGCCACCTCGAGTGAAGATAGTTTCCTCCGAGGCGGGTTAGCCTGTCAGGTGTGTCAGCGTCACGCGACTTGTGTAGTTGGAGTGGAGGTTTTTGCTGTCTCCTGCATTCCCTAGGTTTCTGTTGAGGCGGATTTGTTGTTTTACCCATTGAGGGCCTCCTTTGGTTTTGCTTTCAAAGTTTTACTTCAAGATCGGATGCATCTCTAGTCTAGCGACAGTGTCAGGGTCAAGCCTCCTCGACTCTCCTGATTGCTCTGACTGACGGACGCGCAGGTCACTTCACCGAGGCGGACTTGTGAGTAGTCCTGTTTGTCCGACGGTCATTACGGTAGTAATTTTCATGAGTAGCCGGAGAGAGGAAGCGGCTGCGGCTACTAGCAAATACCGGCATGGAGTCAATACTGGTATCATCTTGTGTCACCGTGTCTTCATGACACGTCTTCTTGACCAGCACTGAGTTCACCAGCCCACGTCACAAGTTCACTGATTCATTGGCAATTCATCGGTGATCAGTGATCATTGTCAGGCTCCTCTAGGGACGCTAGCAGGCTTCTGTCCTCCTCGGCGACCTTCACCATGTTGATGTAAAAGTGCCTTGGACTCTCCTGTCACATGACTTAGAGGATATTCGTCCTGCAGTCGTTGCAAATCTGCGATGCCGCTGGCCGCACCACAAGTTTCTCACCTCGTCGGATCCGTCTCGAAACACCTGCTCGTCTCCCCGTCACTCCTCTCCCTCCCCTCACCCACCACAAGCTCCTCACCCGCACACTCTGTAATAATCCTGCCGAGGAGGCAACCCAGTTCCGAGAGAAATAGCAGATTCTGCATCCAGCACGACTCAGATCGCCTCATCCCTGAATCGTGATGGCACATCCCCTACCCTGTCGACGAGTGCAGGTAGAAGACCTTCAGGAACAACGAGTCGCCTCCGACGTTGTTCACTACATACCCGTACACCTTCGTGTCTGCAGGGCTCTCGTCAGTCCATAGATGCTGCTTCCCTTCATGACTTACTCCCTCCGCTGAGTTCCATTTCCTCGCCATTCAATGCCATCTTCATGACTCGTTTCCAGTTCGACTTGAAGCCTCCGACAAGCTTCCCCACGAACAACTCCCGTTAGTCACCATTGCCTCCTCCTCCTCCTCCTCCTCCTCGTCCTCGTCCTCGTCCTCGTCCTCGTCCTCCACCTTCTCCTCCTCCTCCTCCTCCTCCTCCTCCTCCTACCTGAGGCAGCCTCATCCGGATGCAGTAGTTGACAAAGAGGTTATTCTCCTCGTCCATCCCCAGTGAGAGATGCGTTTCTGTGAGCCTGGCCATGTACACCATGAAAGCTCTTCCTGCAACGGCAAACATCAACAGCCAAACAAACCGACCCCGGATCCCTTTTCAACAACCAATTCGTTTCATCAACAGCATCAGGCAGCCATCAGACATGACATTAAGTCTAATTCCGTCCTCTCCTAATCCTCACTTACCTAAGCTCTGCATGCTTCCTCGTACTCTCTCCATGATGCTCTGTGACGCGTGATCCGTCGACAGCACCTTCAGTGCCTCCATCATCAAGCCCCTGCACCACTCGGTAAACTCCCTGTCTCCGGCATGAAGCCCCTGCCCCGCCCCGCCCCCACTGTCTCCTTGCTCTCACCGGCTCTCTGATACCAGCCCCCTCAGCGCCTGGTCGATGTCGTACGCGCACGCGTTCGACGTCCCCGGGTCTCTCCGTACTACCATGCAGAACTTCCCTACAAGATCTCCTGGCCACGCGTGCCTCACCTCCGCCTCCTCCTGTGCCTCCAGTACGAACACGCCTTCCCCCATGCACGACACATGCGCCGGTATCACCCGACACCTGATCACGTTCAAGCACACCATCCCCTCCCTCGAGAACGTCCGCAGGTCTACGAAGAAGGGCACCACCGCCTCCCCCCGCATCACCGCCTGCCCTGCCGCTCGTAGCACGTCCAGGCTCTCGTTCTCGACCAGATGGAGGAAGCACTGTCCTTCCTGTCCCAACAGTCATGCTCCGCGTCAGACACCTACTCAACCCTCTTCCCCACCAGTACTTAACCCTCCCCCCTCCCACGCTTCTACTCCTCCTTTTTGTCTCTCCCTTCTTCTGCTCACCAGCCTCCACAGCGGCGATCGCACGTAGTACCCCTCTAGCCCCACGCTCCCGCACTTGATCCTCCAGCTCGGTAGCTCCACCGACACGATCCTCTCCCTCCGGCTCGACATGACCCTCGCCGTCGCTTCCTCTAGCGACACGCCTGGCTCTTGTTTCTTCCTGCTGTGTGGCATGGCCCGCAGGTGCGTCACAAGGTCCTCGAGCATCTGGACAGTAGTCCGGGAGGAAGGAAGGCTCCCTTTCAGCTCCTTCAATTTTCTCTTCGAGGAGGGGACCATGGGGTCCAGGGCTTCGAGGAGCTTCTTGATCTGATCTCTCTGAAGAACCTTGGCCTCTTTGTCTCTCTCGCGCTTGCGCTCCAGGTTTCCTCGTTGAGTGCTTACTTTCTCCTTGCGCATTCTTAAAGTTCAGAGGTACGATGGTCTATTCTTGCTTCTTCTCTTTCTGACGATCAGTTGATATGCTTCAATGCAGGAAGTATGGTTCTCGTATACCATCTAAACTTGCATGTTGATCTTTTGTCCAATTTACAAACGACTACTTGAAGAACCACGTGTGATCCTATCAGTCGGATGGAGATTTCTTGTTTGCAGCAATAGAGCTTTCAGTTTTCTACACGTGCCAACAAGTTTCTGAATGTCTCCTGTACATGTCAGGCAGCAAACAAACCCTCTTCACCTCTCCTCCTGCACTCCTTCACTCCTCCACTTTTATCTCATCAGGCGTGTCCATTATTATTATTATTATTATTGTATTAAGACCGGGGGATATGAGTCTTATGATCGGATCCCCCAAGATTTCAAATATGACCAGTACATTTCATCGCAGCTTTCATGATTAGTTCATAGACTTTCACTTCGAAATTGGAACGGGAAATGTTCTAAAACGAATGGGTAAAAATGAAATTTAAAGAAGCTTTTTTGAAAACTTCGGTTCTGGGGATGAATTTAATATCCGGGGAAATGTCTACGGCAAATGGAGAGGGCGGCAATGGAGGAGAGACCTAACCAAGGATAAGACATGGTAGAACGATGAGAGAAGACAGGCAGACTACAACGTGATATCATATGTGTTCACTCTACGAGTCTACCATGGATTCTTATTCTTTATTCATGGAGAATGTCGAACGATGTCAGAAAACCAGCAAGCTCTCTTGAAGCATCACACTTTTGTCAGAATAAGACCCCGGGGGGCAGCGTGACTTTCGATCCACCAAAGTGCAGGAAAGTTGCCTTGCTGAAGGAGTGGCATGGATAGGGGCGGCATGGATAGGAATGCTTTCACGGATGCGCAAAGTTTCTCCGATTGTTGAGGGGAAATGGGTGGGTCTTGATCTTGTCTCATGTGAATGATCATCATGCCATCGCAATGAGAGGTAATGACCAGCATGATCATAACGAAAATGCTCAACGAGATGATCGTACTAAGAAACGCGAGAGAGACAAAGCAACAAAGGCTATCCAGAGGTGTACTACCAGAAAGCTCCTCGAAGCCCTGGACCCCATGGTCCCCTCCTCGAAGAGAAAGCTCCAGGAGCTCAACGGGTATCTTCCCTCGTCCCGGACTACTGTGCAGATGCTGGAGGACCTCGTGACGCACTTGCGGGTCATACAAGTAACGACTCCAGCGAGCAGGAAGGAGCGAAAGCCCGGCGTGTCGCTAGAGGAAGCGACGGCGAGGGTCATGTCGAGCCGGAGGGAGAGGATCGTGTCGGTGGAGCTACCGAGCTGGAGGATCAAGTGCGGGAGCGTGGGGCTAGAGGGGTACTACGTGCGATCGCCGCTACGGAAGCTGGTAAGCAGAAGAAGGGAGAGACAAAAAGGAGGAGTAGAAGCGTGGGAGGGGGGAGGGTTAAGTACTGGTGGGGAAGAGGGTTGAGTAGGTGTCTGACGAGGCGCATGACTGTTGGGACAGGAAGGACAGTGCTTCCTCCATCTGGTCGAGAACGAGAGCCTGGACGTGCTACGAGCGGCAGGGCAGGCGGTGATGCGGGGGGAGGGTGTTGGGCCCTTCTTCGTAGACCTGCGGACGTTCTCGAGGGAGGGGATGGTGTGCTTGAACGTGATCAGGTGTCGGGTGATACCGGCGCATGTGTCGTGCATGGGGGAAGGCGTATTTGTACTGGGGGCACAGGAGGAGGCAGAGGTGAGGCACGAGTAGCCGGCAGAGCTCGTGAGGGATCTGTGCATGGTGTTCAAGCGAGACCCGGGGACGTCGAACGCGTATGCGTACGACATCGACCAGGCGCTGAGGGGGCTGGTATCAGAGAGCCGGTGAGCGCATGCATGAGCTGGGAGGGATAGCAGAGGGCTGACGGAGGGGGACGGGCAGGGGGCTGATGTCACGGGGACTGGTTGCGTTATCGACGGATCACGCGTCAAGGAACGTCATGGAGAGAGTCCGAGGAAGCCTACAGAGCCTGGGTAAGGAAGAGAGCGTGCGAAGG